AATTATAAAGAAAATAAAAATAAATCCAAAGTACAAGGTACTTGTAAAATGAGCTTGTATTGTAGGCTTGGTAAAATGAGGACAAACGGATCAATCAGTGATAAAATAACTTATACTGTAGGCCTAAACTGATACATAATTCAATATAGTTCAAGGCAGTCAATGAAAACTCGTAGGCCCGTATCCTCAACTCACTATATTATCATAAATCAATATGAAGACCATAACATCAGCGAGAAAAAACGTTATGAGCTGGATGTGGATCGAATACCGAAATCTTATAATTTTATTGCGTAATCGTAATATTTCTACAGCAAGCAGAAAAAATGCAGAATTACTCACCTGATTGTTATAGTGACCTTGTTGCTTGCTTGTGGAGAAAATGTTATGGCTGTGTTTGCTTTGGTTGCAAAGTTAAAACACGTATAAATAGAATTAATATTAAACATAATTTCTATAGAGGAAAATTGATGATAATATATGAGACTAATTACTAGATTATTTAAGTATAATTGATTTTATTATTGAATTTACTAAATTATCGAATTGATACAATACTTGATATACATATAATGTAATAGATTATTTTAACAGGATAGTTTCTGCTTGCTGCACAACAAAATGTATTGTAAAGGGAATAGGTGGAGTTGCTAATTTCTTCCCTTACGTTGCATTTGTAAAATCCATTATTTTATTATCCCATTGTGTTATAAAATATAAATATAAGTTCTCTCAAAACTATAATTTTTCTGACAAAAAATGTTGTATGTTGGTTTAATAATAATTATAATTATAATTATAATAATTATTATTATTATCATTGTTATTATTATTATTACTATTATTATAATTATTTATTATTTTTTTAAATTATTATTATTATTATTATTATTATTATTATTATTATATAGTCATGATGTGCTGCCATGATGTGATGTCATGATGACCATATTTAGGCATGTCACATGTTTTTGTCAAATAAAATTTGATAGTTTAGATAAAGCTTTAGGATTAATGTGAACCTTAAAAACAGGCGATTCACTTTTGTTTTTAAAATACAAACATATAACACATAGGCCTAGATCTACTTCGTGATTTTACGACCTTTTGATTTTTGTATTCAATATACTGTAATGTCCTCTCTAGTCTAGCTTCAGGTTATTAGCAGGCCTCAAACTAATCACTGAATAATTCATGAGCTATAACTCATAACAGCTAAAAATCTGCAATATCAAAGCCTAAATTGGCCAGCTTTTCCCCATGGATTTCCAAATTAGTAAGACAATAAGCAATGTATTTGAATTTCGATTAATATTTGACTGTTAATAATACACCAGATAAACAAGTAGCCCATTAGGTAGCGCATTGGGGATGATGTTAGCAAAAATAACGTTTTAAATGCATTATTCTTAAGCTATGAAAAGTGTGATGCGAATATGAATATACCATTAGTTTTGTTTGTTATGGATGTGATGCCAGTTTTCAAACTCTCAATTGGTTTAACACAAAGTAATGACATTATGGGAATGAATCACTTAGCCCATATATATATATATATATATATATATAAGCTGTCTCTTATACACATCTAGATGTGTATAAGAGACAGATATATACCTTATAATATATAATATATATCATAAGGTATATATATATATATACATATATACATATATATATGTATATATACCTTATAATATGTAGGCCCTATTGTATTATAAGGTATATATAGGCATATCTATAGTCAGTTGTATGAGAGAAGGTACATGAGGTTTAAATAATTGTCATTTTAATATATAAAATACATCATATATACATGCAATTATAATAATGATGATAATAATTATAATAATATTAATAATAATATTTCTATCGAAAATTTACTTATTTATACTTTAGCCGATTTATTTATATGTTAGCATTACATTTAAATATAATATATCACCCAAACGAGATTTTTAAAATTGGAAACAAATTGGAAATAGAACTCTAAAAATAATTCGTCATATCGATGACGTAGCAACAACTAAAATATAACAACAATTACTTGGTTCGTGACGTATTGTTTGAGTGGATATGAAGAGCTTCCAATTACTGACGTCACCACATAAAAAAATAAAACTGACAATAGATGACCTTTTAGAGGATTACTGTTATACTCTTGTCAAATACAAACTGCCCAGCATGTACATAAATATTACATAGCACATACACGCACCCCTCCATACAAACATACACAATCATACTGTAAGGTCGCCCTAGGCCTACTGTACCCCACCCCCGACTGTAAAAAATCTGAATCTCCCCTAACAGGCTCGTCCCCTGGCGCCTTTGCTAGGGGCCGAGTTGACTTTACAAAACATACTTTTATTCCAATTATAAAACCTGTC